CTTGGTATGGCAAAGGAGATCCTTGAGCTCCAATCAAATGAATGCACAATGCACTAAATGACCAAGTCGTACAAGATAGGTGCCATGAGAGGTTTATGGTCTTGCCATCTTGTCACTTCATTAGTACTATCAACAGGGAAACAAACACAGCTTCTTATTCTCCTGTACACCAGGGCATGTAGTAAATGCTGGATGTTCCAATACAGACAGCCATGTGTGAGTCACGTGCTGAGTACCTGCTGCTTAGAGCATGATTTACATGTATGTTCTGTGATCCTCATGGCCTCAAAGATAGATTTAGTGTCCCCGTGTCACAGATAGTGTATGCAGCCCTCCAAGAAGTTATATAACTTAACAATATGAAGAGAACCAAAAAGTAGGTTAGCCAGGATTTGTAGCGTGGATAACTAATAGACCCTTTGACTGTTCCTACATTTTCTAGAGAGTGGTACTACACCCTCACCTCCAAGCACTCCACGGAGAACGTTCTCTGAAGGAACATGGTATGCATGTGTGTATGTAGTGTTGGAGATAGAGATATTGTTGCACTTTCCATTAAAATATCATCCTTCAAGTATTGGAGGTTGACTATCTTTAAATGCATTCTATCTTTTTCTGAATAGTCCCCAAATCTTTTTTTTTGTCTTGTTGATTATATACATGGCCTACTAAGAATGTGAATAAAAGTCAGCCACTCAAAGAGGTGACAAGCTTCCTTCAAATCTACAGGAAACTTGGCTCTTAGTGGATGTCCTTTGTGACTTGTGTTCACACACAGTGTCCTTGAGAAGCCTTCTGCCTTCACATGAGCCTTTGCTTGCAAAGAACCATTAGTACTAATGGGTCATTTTCAGCCCGTCACTCCATGGATCAAAAGGAGAAGCTGCATCTTTGATGAAGTGCTGAAAGTACATAGGGCTTAGACCACTTAGGGGTTTGCTTTGTTCTCCTCATATGAAAACTCACCAAGGCACTGCAGATCGCTGCTATATGAGAAAGATTTTTCACTACTAAGTGGTGATACTAAGTGTAGCATCAGTAAAGAAAATGAAAATGAATCCTCTACTTACAATGCCAAATTCATTCACCTGTTTGGGTTGATATTTTCTGCTCTTAATTAACGCAGATTATCCATTCTCTTCAATAAGCTCTTAAAAGTTGACAGGTAGAAAGTTTGCTAATTAGAATAACGAGGGATGAAGGCAGGAAATGAGGGCAGGAAGGAAAAGCACTCTAGAATTAGCTCTCTTCCCATTCATTCTGTTATCCTTCCCCTTTCCTGATTTTTTTCTCTTGTGGCCTCAGTCCATCAGGTTCTGAATTTGCACTGTGCTTAGATCCATGTGAATACCATGGGTGAACCTGAAACAAATAAGGACTCAATTTCACTCCTTTAGAAAGTGTCTGTAAGCACGAAGAATACTGTTCATCAAATATGTGGCCTTTTTGAAAAAAAAAAGATTTATTATCTCTTTTTATTGGAAAGGCAGATTTACAGAGAGAAGCTGATATGGAGGGAAAGATCCTCCATCTGCTGATTCACTCCCCAAGTGGCTGCAATGGCCAGAGCTGAGCTGATACAAAGTCAGGAGTCAGGAGATTGTTCTAGGTCTCCCATATGGGTACAGGTTCGAAGGCCTTGGCCATCTTCCACTACTTTGTCAAGTCATAAGGAGGGAACTTAAATATATGGTCTTTATATATAACTTTCAGTATTAAGTTCAACATCTGACAAATCTGAAGCAGCACCCAAGAATCCCTCATTCAGTTACCCATTGAGCTCCATGACTATATTCAATAAGCTTTGTGGAGCTGTGAAATTTCCTAACATTTAGTTCAGCAAATGAAAGCTGGCAGTATTTCTTGGTGTTGATATTGACATGTAAAAATATAAATCCCAGGCCATCATCTTTAATGTTCAAAAAAGGTAGCTTTTTTTGTATTTCTGGAACTCATCTTGACATCTTGTTTTGAACTCTGACACTTAAAAAGGTCAATTTTAGTTTCCTTCCTACCTGTTCTTATATGCACATTACTGGACGGGGGTGAGACTTTCATTTTAACAAATGTTGGGAGGTGGAGATGGCATGGAAACTGATCTCAGAGACTGTGTTGTCAAAAGTCAGGTGCCCACTGAATTGCTGCCTAGCATCTTCAGCTGTGTATGCATGGCCTCTTCAGGTCGGATATTCTTTCCTACTGTCTCTGTGCCAGCATGGGCAGGATTCGATTGCTTCCGTAGCACAGTGGAGTACAGAGAGTTCTGTGGGTCTGTCTAAACTCCTAGCATGTCTGACTTTACCATTCAGTCGTTCCCTCTCTAGTTTCCCACTATGGCCTTTGGCTTCTCCTGAGAACTTTCGCACAGATCCGTGTTATCCCACTAAGCCTACCTGAGGTTTTGACATCCAGCAGGGCTATGTCCTCAAATTAGAAAGCCATGGAGTCTTCTGGCATTCACCCATGACTACAATTGCACGACTATGCTCCTACAACTTCCTCTCCTGCTTGCTCTGCTGGTGAAGGCAGGAGTTTCCACATATACGTATGTTCTGTTTGCTTCATTCCTTGAAGAGATTTGACTTTATCCCTCAAATAGGAAAATAGTTTTTTTTTCTGTCTTTGATTTCTGATTCATGTTATTTTTATGATACAGAAAAATTACAGTGGCTTGGCATTCAAATAAGAGAAAAGAAAAGGAATGAATAGAAACATGGAGGGGAAAAAAAATCAGGTAGTTTTTGGGAGGGGATCCCAGACCCTGCATAATTGTACCCTAAAATTCAAAATAAAAAAAAAATCAACTAGTATTTCAAAAATAGCATTCTTGTTTAAAAAGAAAAAATATGTATTTTTGGAAAGTCAAGTCTGCAGAGAGAAGGAGAGACAAAGATTTTTCCATCTGCTGATTCTCTTCCTGAGTGGCTGCAATGGCTGGAGCTAAGCCAACCTAAAGCCAGCAATGGGTGCAGGGTCCCAAGGCTTTGGGTTGTCATCTTCTTTCCCAGGACATGAGCAGGGTGATGGAGGGGAAGTAGAGCAGCCGGGACACAAACTAGAACCTATATGGGATCCTAGAGTGTGCAAGGTGAGGACTTTAGCCATTGGGCTAACACGCTGGGCCCTCAAAAACAGTATTCCATCTTAGACCAAATATGCTATGCTTCACTATGAAAGGTGAAAATTAATAGTCAATACATTTTGTGCTTATTTGAGATGGAGGAAGTAAGCACATCTAGTAACTTTAGTTTAACTTGCGTAGGAACAGTGACATCTTGGTACCAGACTTAAGAGTTTTAATGTGTCAAGGGAACTATGTCCTTAGATTTTTAAAATTAAATGACTTGGTGCAAGCCTCATTGTCAGTATCGCAATTTAAACTTTCAAATTTGACAATTTTACCCTACTTGGAAGCTAATCGCTTAGTTTAATGTCATTCATTGATTGCCAGTAGTGTATCTGGGTTGCAGACTATGGCATTATCATCCATGGCTCAAGAAATAGTATGTGTGTCAGTTCTTTCTGTCCACTCTCGTGGATCAGAGGGGTCTGTATCAACATTAGGAATGCAGGAATTTTGTGTTATCTTGGGGAAAAATGCCAAAAGGTATGAAGTTGGATTCAATGGTCAATGTGAGAGCAAAAGTTCAAATGGCCATGAAACATTAAGAACTAGTGAAGAGTATGTTCTGAGAACATGTAGGCAGGGGCAGTCTATTATGGAATTTTTGGATCACTACCCAGTTTTCTGCATTGATAAAGCATTTACTAGAGCCAGTGACTTACACCTTCTGAATGTGACCCAAATGTGGTAAATGAGATGTAATAAGGAAACCCCAACGTAAATTGCAAGCATTGTATATATATATATATATATATATATAAAGCTGTGTTCCATAAAGTTGGGGAATTCCAAACCAAGACTTGGAGATAACAAATATGAGACAAAGTTTGCATGAGAGTCTTCAATAAAATTCAGAAAATAAGCCAGTAACTTTGTAACCATTCTCAAGGCATAGGATTGGAAGTAGTGTTACTTTCCCCAAAGAGGAACCACCTGAAGAAGGCTGTGAGGTGCAGTTATTGGCAGGCTTAGGCAGCGAGGAAGGGAACGGAATTAGGAGAATCAAGGATGGCATGGATAATTATTTTAGACATTAGAGAGAACTTGAGCTTCTGTACAACTAAACAACCCAGAATTCTGCAAGCAACAGATAAACTTGGAAATGCCATTGACTCTCTACTATGTCCACCTTAAATATTTTATTTGATTTAATGTTTGTAACAGTTCTATGGAAGAGATGGCACTGTTCTCAATATGGAAATTAGTATACTAGGGGCTGGCACTGTGGCATAGCATGGCAAGTCACCATGTGCAATGGTGGCATCACAAAGACACCTGTTAGTATCCTTGCTGCTCGGCTTCCTTTCCAATTCCCTGCCAACGGCTCCAGAAAAGCAGCAAAGGATGGTTCAGGTGTCTGGGTTTCTGTCACCCATGTGAGAGGTGTAGATGGAGCTCCTGGCTTCTGCCTGTTCCCAGCCCTGGCTTTTGTGGCCATTTGAGGGAGTGGTCCAGCAGGGAGTAGATCTCTCTCTCTCTCCCTCTTCCTCTGTAACTCTGACTCTCAAGGCACATACATGAAAATTTTTTCTTTAAAAATAGGAATGAGTGTACTAATAATCAGAGAGACTTCAGGAGGCCTTAGTGTTGGTACTTACCTGGGCTCAAATTTCAGTGCGAGAGTTAGCATCATGGTTCCATGTAGACACCTCTTCCCACTTGGTCACATCGTAACCTACTCCTTCAGTTTTCTCTGGAAGTAGCTTTCAGAAATTTCTTCTAGTGCCAATGGATTTTAAGTAAAGTGTTGTGTCAGAAATGTGCTTTTCAATTCATATAAGGAAAAGGAACCCTCCCAGTTTTGTTCTCCATCCTGCTGTGTGTTTAAAGTTGATAACATTTTTCTTTTGTGACAAAAACTTTGATCTTCCCACAGGTGACTTGTACATAGGAGGAGTGGCTAAGGAAACATACAAATCCTTGCCAAAACTCGTCCATGCCAAGGAAGGCTTTCAAGGCTGCCTGGCCTCAGTTGATTTAAATGGACGGCTTCCAGACCTCATTTCAGACGCGATCCTCTGCAATGGACAAATTGAGAGAGGATGTGAAGGTACTAGATCTTTTTCATTATACCCTAACCAAGTCCCTGTATAAGTGAGAGCAGTTCTCACTAGCCAGTAAAATTCTAACTGGTTGAACATCAGGAATTGGGCATTCTTACACGTGTTTTAATCTTTGTACCCATACATCTTAAGTTTTCAGACTGCTTGCATGCCTGCATTGGTGTCTAATGTAAAATGGGGTTCTATCTGTGCTTTTTGTTACATACTACTTCTTTTCATTCAATAGTTAATTAAATTAGTATTTCACCTGTTGTGGTGTGATTTAAATCAAATAGATACCTATTTATACCATAAAAATGCCTTGTACCAGTACTAATCGATTAGTTAACTCTTCACTCAACGGAGTCTAACAAAAAATGAAATTTGGATACTGTATTCTCAAATCATTAATTAATTTGTATGTATCTGGCAATAGGAATGTGTCTTGTCAATTATCAGCTTGTGTTAGCAGAAATGGGCGTCTTGCATTACTGAACAGTCGTAATCGGTACTACAAAAAATGTATTAAAATATCTTCTTTGTGTGTGCGCATGCTCTCCTTCAGACCATGATCTGTAGGAGTGTTCTTCTTATTTCTACTTACATTTGGGGACCTTTTTACTTGAACATCCGAGATCATTGAAATAATTCTCCCTGTAGCCCAGAATCATAATTAAATCATGTCATGATTGTATATCTCAGTATATATTGCTACTTCTTTAATGATGTACACAATGTGGACCATTTTTATAAAAATAGTTTCAAAAAATAAAATCTTATAGGGAAATGAAGAGGAAAGAAATGTGAATTTCTATCTTCCACAAGATTATAAATCATTTCTTATCAGTGCAGTCATCCCATTACATATAACAATTAACCTGTGCATATGGGGATTTTTATTTGAAAATAATTTTCTTTCTGCAACATAAGTTTTCCTGAAAAGTCAGGGGAAATTCAAGCTGTGTTTTAATACTGCCAGAGCATGATAAAAGCCTTCATTCCATTCATTTTTAATGTTGCTATCAAATTAATTTTTCTGCTTCATATGTTGGTATAGAAATTTTGTAAAATTAAGAGAAATTACTGTTTTTCCTCCTTTTCCCGTTTTAGTAAATGATACAAAATTGATAAGTGGATGAATTCCCTTGGATAGATGGAAGTAACAGTGTAGGGAACGATTTTGGTTCTTTGAGTTAATATAATTCGTAGGGACATAGGCACTTACTGTGTTTTAAAGAATAAGTTGCTATAAGCTTTTCTTACATGTGTTTTGCAAACAGGCCTTTGTATTAGTTGCTTTTTGTCTCACAGGTACAAGATGGTGGAGGTAGACAAACCCGTAAGATAGAACACAAGACATGCATACACAAAACCTCCACCGCCAGCAGCTGATGTTAGCGGGTGAACATAGCATTTAGTGGGAGAAAGCTGTATTAACAAGGCATATTTGAGTTATTGATATTTGGTGGTGTTTTCCAACATAATCTCTCATACAATCTAGTGAAGATGATAATCATACATCCTCTAGGGTGGCCTTGATCTACTGTATCATCTGAATGTATTTAATAGACGTGAGTTAGCAAGCTTTAACTCATGATGAAGTCTATTTTGTATGATTCCTAGGAAGCATGTTAGATATGTCTATCACAGTTGCAATTGAGATTTACACTTTTGGTTCTGGTGACTAAATTTTGGATAAATTATCTCTAGATTGCTATGTCATGGCATTTCAGTTTAAGCCACTTTGGAATCACTAGATTTCCATATTTTTGATGTTGATATTTTTACTATTAATGTTAAATTGATAAAACATAACATTTGATGTAGTGGCATATATATAATCTCTCTTCATTCCCTTTTAGCGTGTCATATTTGTACATTTGTCACAAGTAATGAACCATATGTAGCTCCCTCAATATTTTTAATCCAAATTTCTTTTATCTCTTCCATCCAACCAAGTCCTTAGTAATTAGCATTCTGTATTCAGCTTCCATTTTTAAGATGTACACAGTGTTATATCTGATATAACCAACTAATATGTTGTCAAGATTTTTTAATCATTCCTACCCTGAAAGACCTGCAAGGCTGAGTCCCTTATGTGCAAAAAACTTCTTGCTCTTCCCTCCATAGTTATTTACTGTTTTTTCATTTCTAACATACTTCAGTAGATGAAAGTTTATTTTATTTATCAAGTATATGTCTGCTAGGGAAGAGACCCTGTCTTAATCCCTAATGTTTCCCAAGCATGAGCCTGTATTAGAATTATCTGGAAAAGTCTTAAAATGCCAGCTATTGAACACCGGCTCGAGGAGTTTCTGATTCAGTAGGGCTAGATAGGAGCCTATAGTTTGTAATTCTAACGAGTTCCCAAATGATGTTGTTGATGTTGGTCTGGGGACTAGACTGTCAGTAACAACTTTGGTAGCATTTTCTTGCTTAGGCGGCAGAAAATAGAGACTGGGAATCAACCAGTGAGCAGGCTCCCCAAAGTACATACATCTTCTCTTACATAGTCAGTGGCACATTTACAGATAGTCCTTACACTGGAACTGTAACATACAGCCCTATGATGCCTTGTATGCTAGAGAAATGCTTTTCTTGGGGCAGACACTAGATAGAGTAGTTAACTTGCCATTTGGAACACTCTTTGGAATGCATATCGCATATCTGAATGCTTACTTCATGTGTCAGATACTCTAAGTCCTAACCAGCTCCTTGATAATGCACGCCCTGGGAGACAGCCGACGATGTCTTGAGTACTTGTGTCCTGACCCCCAGGTGGGAAACTTGGCTTGAGTTCCACACACCTGACCTCAGCCTAATTCATCTCCAGAGATGGCTTTGGGGAGTGAAATTGAACATTAAGATGCTTGTGTCCCTGCCTTTCAAATAAAGGGGAAATTTTTGTGGAAAAGAAATATTTCCTTATTAATTATAATAGCTATCATTGCTAAAGGACTGGCGATAATAAATTAGAGCAATTCTCTAAATAACAAATGAGGCATTACTGGTGTTAGATGATAAAACTGAGTTTCAGAGAGATATTAAGTGATATCCTCCAAGAGTCATACGACTACTAAGAGGATAAGCCAAACTTCAAACCCAAGTTTTTCTACATGGAAGTCCAGACATCTGACTGCTTTCCTCTGTTCTTTATTTGGAGATTTTAGTTTTAATTTCATTTTCATCTCATTTTCAAACATGTGCTTATTTTTAATCATTTAATACAAATGTATTATGATTTTTTCCCAATGATATTCAATGATGAAATGAAAGAAACATTATATAACCAAAGTGAAAAATAAATTCAAGGGCTCTGTCTTGTACAAATGCCTGTTGATGATTAAATGTGGTTATTAAAAGGTGAGTACTTTAAAAACCCTGTCTTGTCAGGCATACACATGCATTTTCTTGTTATACCTGAAAGTTAAAAAAAAAAGTGTCACGGTAACAAAGGCAATAATATCAGTAAAACAGGCCTTCATTCTCACATGGAGTGTTGGCAAGTATTAGGAGCATTGCTCTACAATAAGGGCAGATCCATTTTTAGAATTGCAATTTCTCTGCTTTTAGAGTTTAGCATCATGTGGAAATTGAATTTATGATCACTTTTGGAAAAGGCAAAAGCAAATTATGGGTCTTTGTGAGCTCTTATTACTGCTGTTTTCCATGCTCCACGGGACGGGTGGATACTCAACGATGTCTGACCTGGGCTGGTGGACTGACACCACCTCCTGCTCCTTAGTTGTCCCAGGAAGGAGGATGTGATGGTCAATTGGTTTGAGAAGCTTTATTGAAAAAAAAAATTGACATTCATAATCTGCAACATCACAAGACAGAAGTGAATAGATGCTCTTGGATTGCAGCAACAGCAAAACTAAGCCATTTCTAGCTTTATGATACAGTAGATTAAAAAGAAAATTAGGAACCCGGCTCGGTGGGCTAACGGCCAAAGTCCTCACCTTGAACGTGCCGGGATCCCATATCGGCGTCAGCTCTAATCCCGGCAGCACCAATTCCCATCCAGCTCCCTGCTTGTGGCTGGGAAAGCAGTTGAGGACGGCCTAAAGCCTTTGGACCCTGCACTCACGAGGGAGACCCAGAAGAGGCTCCTGGCTCCTGTCTTCAGACTGGCACAGCACCGACCATTGTGGTCACTTGGGGAGTGAATCATGGTCCAGAGAATCTTCCTCTCTGTCTCTCCTCCTCTCTGTGTATCTGACTTTGTAATAAAAATAAATAAATCTTAAAAAAAAATTAGATCTATTCATGTCTCCAGGAACTGAGAGATTATTATTAATTCTACTCCTCCTTACAAAATCCTTTTTTTGCTGTTTTAATAAATCCATTTATGTAATGATTTTTAAGTCAAAATAGGATTTGCAAAACTGTGGTGTCAGAATTTGAGTAAGTCCACATATATTGGGCTAAATGCAATGTTTTAATGAAAAAATACCTTTACTGAATAGGTTATAATACAAAAGACATTGTAAGGTACAGATTTAAAAAGTGTCTTACAAGAAGATTTAATAATAGGCAAATTGCAGATAATTCTGTGTTATTCACTAACACACCTCAAAGTCTCTCACCACTAATAGAATTTAGGCTGCTGTCTATGTTTTTTTTTTTTAAATAATTGCATTTACTAGAAAATGCTTTTAATTTGTATTCTGATGCTGTTTAACTTGACTGCATTTTCTTTGCTCTCTAAGATAATCCTTCTTAGTGAAGTTTTACTATAATATTCACGAGAAGTGTAGAAAATAAAACAATCATTCAGGTATAAGAAATACAAGCATAACTTTGACATTCTTCAGTGGTATACACCCAATCTGATTAGAGGAAGAATGAGCACGCCCCAGTGAAATCTTAAGAAACTTTGAGGAAGCATTACATTACAGTTTGTTTCTTCCATTCTTCTTGCATGCATTGCAAATGATAATATTCATTTTGATGGTGTGGTAGCATGCCAGAATTCATCTGTTGCCAGTGAAGGGCTGACATCACAGTTTTAAGCCTTGATTTCCAACAGAATGATGAAGGGCTTAGACAGGAAAACAGAACGGCATAATTGGTTTGCTAATGACCATAGCTGACACTGTTTGCACACGTGACAAACGGTGGTGCAGATTCTAAGTAAGTGGCACAGTCACTTTGTTTATGAATTCACATCTGTGCAAGACAGAAAAATACAAAAGCCCTTTCAATTTTCCTTCTTTACATGTCATTCACTCAATTAATCATCATATATAAATAGATATACTGGAAAATTCTAATAAATTACCGCTTTCTCATTTTTGGTTTTTCTTACGATTTATGGCTGTTAATGTTGATTTGCTCGACATAGCATTTTCTTCCCACAGCAGCATGCTTTTTTTGAATCTGAACGTTCTTCTGTGTTGGCCCCATTTCAGTATTGCTTACTAACATTTACTATATTTTGCTTTTTTTTTTTTTAATTTTGCTGACAAAGTTGCATTGATGAAAGCTGACTTGCAAGGTAGATAGCCCTGTGTGTATCAAACAAGACTGAAACCCCATTTACACGGTGGAAAGCCTACAGTAACTTTTTTTTTCTCTTACATTTTTGCAGTAATTGTTGTTTGGGTTCAGACTTTATTTTTTTGTCAACATTCTTGAACATTATGCAAAAAAAAAATCATTCTGTAGCCTAGTTTGCATAAAAGGCTTTCAGTCTTGAATATGTTTGTACAGTGATTACCTCTGGTGCTTTGATCATAGTTTTTTTTTTATCAGTTCTTTGTTTTTCAGTGTTCTATTTATGATTCTTTAGAAATAGACTAGCATTCTTTTTACCTGTATGTTAAATGGGGGCATGTCATTTATACAGACTTTTCCATTATATGTTTAATTGCATGAAATTGTTTAAGCATGCCAGTTGATACTTGCCAACATACCGATCCAAAGCACCAGCAATCATAATTTTATTCATAATTTGTGCAGGGACACTTGTGGATCTTCTGGGGTACAATTGTGCAACTCTGCTCACTTAATTTGCCAATCTTTATTTCAGTCTCATGAAGTTATAATCTCCATTTCTCATAGTGTCTCTGTTCATTGGTTGAGAGTTAAGGAGATCCATTTATTTTCCAAAACTCAAATGGTGACAGAGAATATTGGTGATATAACAAGATAACCTGCTGCCATGATCATACTAGAAGCTGTGTGCTTGCTTTGATTATTGGTTTTTTTTAGTTGATTAATATAACACATTGTGTTTTGCACTTGAAACTAAAAAAAAAAAAATCTTCACCTATAGCTTCTCGGTTCTTAACTTAGGTGTGTGACCTAGAACTTTCAAAACTAGTTTGCACATGTGACTTGAGGTGTTGGCAACTACTATGTGTGATTTAGCTCATGCATAAATGATTCTTTTGATTGGTTTAAAGAACCCAAGTTTCTTTTTGATTGTTTCCCAGGGCCGAGCACAACCTGCCAAGAGGACTCATGTTCCAATCAGGGTGTGTGCTTGCAGCAGTGGGATGGTTTCAGCTGTGACTGCAGCATGACTTCCTTCAGCGGGCCTCTCTGCAATGACCGTAAGTCCTGAGCATGTGCTGACATTTGCTGTTATTTCCTGTTATTATTTGATATCCGGGTACTGAACCTTGGAGCCCTAGTGCTTTATCTGGGTAAGTGGAACTATCGTGACAAAAGAAAAGCAATGGTTGGTTAAGCAAAGGTGTTTTTAAAGCACTGAATTCTTGTTCAGAGCTATTGTTCCCTAAGTACTGTGTTGATTCTTTGGTTTTCAGTTGTTTGTGATCCTTTTGTTCCATTTGTGTGACGAATGTTTTCTTGTTTCATATGTATGATGGTTCTAGTTTTTAAAAGCACCTTTAATTCATGAGGTTATAGCATCAGGTCTGTGCTTTTAGGCGATGGTTACAGGTCTTATGTGTTCTTTCTCTACATTTCTTACAGTCTTTTCCTTTTAAAATAATAGTTAAATTGTGCATCAAGTCCTTGTCTTTATATTTTCCCATGAGTTTCCTGCCTGTTAGTCTAAAAAAAGAATGACAATGAAACACAGCATTCGTATTATATCATGGTGCCCAAGCCATACCATAGCTCACACTGCCTAAGATGCATCACAGCCGTGAGATGGAACTTAGCTATTCTACATGATGACGTTGCACTCGTTAACTTTAAATACACTCACCTTACAGTGCTTTGGCAGCTTGATAAGAACATGTTACACAGAGCATCACATTCTGTGAGAAGACAATATTCTTGACAGAATCTCTTGGTTGTTGAATGCAGTAAATGCTTATTGTTGTGAACGATGCAACATATTTAAACTAAAGCTCTAGGATGGTTAGTTAGGGGATGACATATTTCACAAAGTCTGGAATTTCAAGCAGAGGTTTGACTTAAATATGAATTTACAGCAAGACTGCAGTTTGTTTCGTCTTGACATTTGTGTATTTGAAATTATTGTGTCAACATGTATGATTACAAAATACCAAGTAGATCAAACAAAAATACGTTGTTACTTGAAATATGGTAAATTTTTAGCTATCTCAATATTCTAAAATATTAGCTTTAGAAGGTATAAGCAACTAATATGAATAAAGTGCAAAGCCAAGTCATATATAAAAGAGGCCGTTCATGACCATGTAGCTATGAGAAATGTTAATCTCTATTCTGTCAGTGTCAATAACACTATTTTGAGTTTCATAAAGAAGAACCTAACACAAAGCCTCGTGAATACAGAAACATAAAGTGACACGTATTTTTTTTAAGGAATGGCATACATGCGTTCATATGTGTCCACAGAATACAAACTTCCTGCATTTGCCACTTTCTTGTATAAAAAGATGTGAGCTTACATTGAAGGACAAGAAGGCTGAAAATTTGTTGTGATTTTATTATTGTAAAAGTTTAATCCTGAATATGATCCTGACAGATGTATGATCACATGTGGTAGTTAATAGGGCTCTTTTGGTATAAAAATATTTTTCATCTTGGTAAAGAACGTTCTCTACCCAGTTTCCACCTATTAGAGAACAATTGCCATTTGGTTGTGTCACATTGTCATCCTGCTATACCAGTTAACTGAGAAGAATGTGATTTTCTGTAGGTATCTGTTGCATTTTACCTAAAGGGACGTCCAGCTCTGACCTTAGACATCAGATCTGAATGAAGCTCTTTGGTGACAGCGATGGTGATGACGGTGATAAGCTGTTAGTCATTTTCTTGTAAATAAGCAGATGCCATTCAGTAAGTGCCTTTTGCACAAAAAAAGCACCAGAATAACTTTGGAGAGCTCTCAGAATACATGCATTTTGATTAAATCATTACATCTTCCTGGATTTTCTGGAAATATGAAATGGTTCCTTGGTTGTATGTTAGAATATCAATGATGAGATGTAGGTGAGATGGGAATTAAGCAGTCAATCTTATTTTTATGTAAGTTACAGTTTGTAGAATACCCACTAATAATTGCTATTTTAAACATATCACACTTTCCTTATGTTTTAAACGGGTCATGAAAGCTCTTTTGTCTTCAGTTACGCTTTTCCTATAGGTGGCACAAGTAGAATCCGTGTATATTTTTTAATAAATTATTTTTCTTTATGGAAGCTGACAACATAAAAATAATTCAGAATATTTCATTTTTCAATGAAGTTTTCATGCCTTGCTCAGTTGCCTCTCACATCATAGAAATCCAACAACGGAAAAAACAATCGGGTTGTAAGAACACAGCTTTACAAATGATACTCCTCTTCCTCAAAATAGAACTTGTAAATGTCATACGTCTGATAAGTTTCAAAGAGTGGGTTAGAGTAACTAGGAAATCTTATTTATATTAGCCTGGAGACATAATTAAGAGTGGGAAGATGGTAATACTTTACAGCTTGTAAGTGTAATCTTGGATAAATCATACTAATTAATTGAACAAAAAGGAATCTTTCAAAAAGCACTTATGCAAAGTGATGCCAGAGGCTATTTTTTTTTTTTAAGAAATATGTTTGCGAAACACTTAAACCCTTTCTTCCCAGGAAAATTGGCATCTAAGTGATCTATTCCCTTATGGAGAAGTTGTTTCTCTTTATGTTTGTGTGTGTATGTATAAGGTGTAAGGTATTGGAGTACTGTACAAACAACTCCTCAGTTCTCTTAGAGAAGTACCAAAGATACCCTCAGTTATTTTTCTGGTTCGTAATAGTTTCTTGATTTTTCTCTCACCCTCTGTTGGTAATCCTCTTCCTCTCTGTTAGATGGATTTATCCTATGGTTAACTTCGTTTGGCCTTATACCATTATAAAAGTATATTTTTCCCCCTGGGAACCATATTCCTTTCTTTTTTGGATGCAGTTTTGTATAGCATGTGGCATATAATTGTTTATTACATTTAACTGGATGCAAGGACTTTACAAAGGAAATTCTGATAGGTCCCAAGTAGCCAGTGTGCTCCAGATTCATCTGTCTGAAGTTTGTGGTCTGACCCCAACCTTGATTTCCACACTCACCAAGCTCATAATCTTGTCTATGTGCAGTGTTATTACAATTTAGTTATTCATGGCTTTCTGAACATCATTGGCCTTTCCTTACTATTGTTTATGCTAATTTGTCCACCTGGGAAATGCTGTCATTCCACGTGGATTTACTTTCTTTTCACTATGTGTGTAATTTTGTTTTCATTTTCTTCCTAGAAAGTAGTCTGTCCTTAGAGGATTCCCATCCTTTGGGTTTGCCATTGCCTCTTCTCCTAAAGCCTCATGGCCACAGTGTGTCAGTGTGTCCTGGAGATATTTGGAAACTTTTCTCCTGGTTATAATCATTTATTGAATGCTTTCTACTCTTTGCACGGCACTAAGAGTACATGCCCATCTATAAAATCTTTCTGTCTCCTAATTATGCTTGCACACCCACTCACAATCATCAAGTCAGTGCGCTACAACATAATCCTTTGCTGCTTTCACCTGGTGGCTCAGCTGATTGAATGCCAGGTTGGATAAGATGAATATAGCTATGACCACATAGAAAACAGTGAATGTAGTAGCAGTGTCCCATTACATTAGCATGGAAGTTTCATGTGCGAAATTACAATTCAGTTTCAATGGTGTTAATCACAATAACGGAAGAATGCATCATTTGCTATTACTTGGGTGCTTTAACTTAGAAAGAGGTGAGCACTGTTCTTAAAAGACTATTTTCAGAATCCTAAACTTTATCAAGGGGGAAAAAAAACCCTCTCTGATGGTAATTTTTTGTACATTCTGTGTAGGAATTAGAAATATTCACTGATATAAGGGTGAAATTTGATTGGAAATTATTACTGTGACATTTAAGCATATATTTGACTTTTTTCTCACCTTTTGGTGTTTGAAAAGAGAAATCAATATGCAGTGTTTTACGTCGATATCTGAGATAGTATAAGTGAATCATAAAATATGCAAAAATAACTTGAGCCCAGGTAGCATTATTTCTCCTTCATTGAGAGCCACTCATAGCATTCAGCTGAACTCATTTGCTACTGGTGCCACTTAGGTCTGAATAATACTTTTCAATTAGTTATGTCCACAATTCGTTGTGACTGTGATGAATCTCAGGAACATTGTATCCTCCAAGCATTGTAACTATTAGCAGTTAGGCTCTTATATGCAAATCATAAATATGCTTACTGATAATGTTTGAGATCTGTCTATGGGGAACATGCTCAGACCTGTCTCAGCTGAAAATATAAAGTATTAGCATCTTAAATCTCTCCTGGGCTACAATGCAAGGAAATAAAGCATAACGTAATAGAAAAATGTTAACATGCAATGCAAGTGTTTCTTGCTACTATTTCATAGCAATTTATTTGTGTTTGCATTATTGGCACTAAATATTGTAAAAAAAATAGGTATATGAAAGAAAAACATTGGTGTTTGCATATTGCTGTTGGGTAGTAACAAAGCAGTTTTAGACTGAGTCTGTATAAATGGTGGTTACTATGGGAATACCTCAAGACAATGGGATAGATGACTGTGTGACTGTATCGTCTGGGAGAGTTTCCCAAGCTGGGTAGCTGCTGAATAAATATATGTATTCTTCTTAAATGCGACCAGTTTGGACCCTAAAAAAAAATCAAGGGAGAAAGGCCCAGTTAGAAACATTTTACCAATGGATTTTCCTACTAGTGATGTCTTAATGTTTTAGCATAAATTCTAATTTTGTGGATCTTAATGTGGCTCCTTGGCTGATACCGTCACTGTACGTCTTATGTTAATATCAAGGCAGACATTGATGTTATATGGAGATCATACTGCTTTATTCCATGAGAGCCCAGCTAGCCAGAGCTAGAGCAGGGAGCAAGTTCTGCAGTCACCTCCATCACTTATCCTCACGGGATACTGTTTCACAGTGCTCTCTGCCATAGTTTCCATCTGAGTGGTTTTCTTTCTGTGAGTCCATTATTCTCTATTTGCTTCCCAGCCTTAATAAAAAGGAGCAGAAATCAAGGTAGGCTGGGGATATTGCCTTGATTAGATATGTTCAGCTTTTAAACTTAAGGCCTTTTGATTTACCTGTATGTTTTAAAAATGATTTT